TATATATATATATATATAATATAAACTTGCATGCTTACATTTATTTATCGGTTCATTCAACACACAATCCACAAAATCCATTTACCAGATTTCGCGTTTCGTACGCTCTCAAAATTCCGTAATTTCGCGCATAAGTTCACAATGCCAGCGTGAAACAAAAATCCGACAGTCTATTTAGTGTTAAACGCGCGACTTGAAAGCGCGCCAAAGAATCCGCGGAAAAAGCAGCGACTGGCAAACTTGCGAAGGTTGACCACCTCTACACGAGTATTCACGTGTGATAGGAAGAAGCGAAGGAAGCTAGTTAATGAGCGAGCGAGCGAGCAAGCGATCGATGGATACAACATACAGGGTGTGTCTGAAAGCTCTAGCGAGGTCTGGTGATTTTCGTCCTCGCAGAATGCTGGACATTTTCGAAGATCGATGAAGCAACGGAGACTTTAAGAGAGACTTATCCTTATTTCTATCAACGTAGATTAATTTTAATTTAATTTACTTTTTATCTTTTTTAGTTCTAAGAATTAAAAAGATAAAGAAAATGGTTAATGCGTGATTAAAGTTAGACAGTATTGATAGAAATGGACATTATTCTTAGAACTCTTCTATAATATGCAAAGATAAAAAGTTAGTTGAATCGAGATTAAGGTCATGTTCGTATATTACTGCCAGTTGACTGCCAATACTGAAAACCTATAGTTTCCGTTACGTGTACTATACTGTACTGACAACTAGCAATAATATACGAACACGGCTTAAAATGAATTGGTAGAAACAGGCATTAGAGAGTATTCATAGTCCAATCTTATATTTAAGATTATTTTGCGTTTTAAGATTCTCTATTATCATCTAATTACATCATAATCTAATTAAAGACCTATAGCATCTTAATACATTATTTTATTTAAGATTTTAGGTCTTAAAATAAGAACGGGCTGGCCTTAGGAGACTATAAAACTCGAGGCTTGGAAAGAAAATTATGGAAATCAACGATTTTACGCAGCTATTTTATATCACTAGGTATCTAAATAAAGTAGTTTAAAATAAAAAATAATATAGTTTAAAGTAAAAAAGAATGTGTTCATCACGTTCTTTAGTCATGTTTTCGTGCCAGATACACAAACAGAAAACGTGCTCCTTATCAAGTATACAAACAGATAATGACAATGTAATCGTATAGGCATTATCTCGTCTCTTCATGACGCTATGCTTGTCTGAGACTGCCGAGATACTATCGTGTTTCCAAATATTCTTTCAGAAATCAAATGATAATATTGGAGGATAACACAGAGAAAGAGAGCAGTTCAAACTCTATATTTATTCATGTAAATGCGTGATAATTAAAAATAATTATCGTGCACGGTGCTAATAAATTAAAATTAGAACTAGTGCTTTCTAATATAAAGACTACGAAGCAGCATATTCTTGAGACCCTGAATAGTTATCTGATAAATCATTATAATTAATTGTTTTAATTTAATTGTTTTTGCGCATGCAGAATAGATCGTAAATTTTGAGCTCGAAGCATGCTAGACTCGTGTGCAAGTCTCATAAGGATCAGGAATCCACGATGGTGGTGTTCCAAAATTATCCTCAAGCTATTTCCGTCATTTCGCGCCCGGAGAGGAAGCTTATTCTCGCATTTGCGATTCGTTAAAATTGCATTATATACTTCCGAATTAGTAACGAAAACGATTAACTGATTAATCGTCTCTGCATTTATGCACTGCGATAAATAAAAAAAAAAACGGATATGAAATGTGACAAAAATATCTCATTTTATTTTAAACCGCAAATTTTTTAACGAATCATTATCAAAAGATGTTTTGAAATATTATCGAAAATTATCATGATCATGATTATTATATAACATATAAACTAAACGAATATGCGGAATAAAATAAAATTTCTGTTGCTTTAAGCTTATATATTATAAAAAAAAACAGCTTGCGATTCTTTATTTAATTGTCTCGAAATTACTTTATATATACATTTAAAAAGGATTATTGTACTTTGAAAAAACATTTTTTTAAAGAAAAAATTGATTAAAAAAAATTAATTTTTTTTTCTTTCTCTCTCATGTGCATTCCGTTACGGTAGTGAAAACTTAAAATGCAACTTAAAATGCATAAGAATGCATGTAACATGTTCATCGTATTTTAACATGTTCATTCTCGTTTCGAGACTCGTTTCTTACCAAAGCGACGCAGAGACGGCAAGAATTAAAAAGAAGAAAAGGGCTGCACTTGTGGAGGAACGTTATATGTCAGGACTGGGTTTACTTATGGGGAGAGCATTGGACACTTGGCGACCAGCGTATCTCTGTATACAAGGTGTCTACAAAAAATATACATCCGTTTCATTATAAGCAAATTATATGCGAAATTATGCATTTTTTTAATGTACAATTGTTTCTTTAACTTTTTTTACAATTTTATATGGCGATTCCGCCGTGAAAACTTTTTCAGTGATAAGTTAAAGTTTTTATACGTAATTAATTAGCAAATTTTAAAATTAATTTACAATTAATTTCAAGTAATCCGTGTGAAGTAATGAAAATTTTAAATAAATGAAGAGGAATTTTTACGTTAAATATATTATCTCCTTAATAAGAATAATAATAAGATCTTTAATAATAAGATCTAAAATTATTATATTCTTATATTTTTGTTAATTTATAAATTCTGCGTTTGATATATTTTGAGTTATATCAGTTAAATTTATATTTAATACGTATTTCAATAATATACTGAAAAACAAATTAAATACATCATCTGATAAGTAAATTTATAATCTTTTAGATAATAAATCACGTATCAAGAATTTTCGTATCATCATATAGATATTACTGGCATTGACAATAAATTTGTCAAAAATGAAGAACAATATTTCCAAAATCTATTCCAGCAGATCTCTATTTATAGCAAATCCGTGAATCATTCTTGATAATTTTAATCATATCTCAGTTTAATTAATATTTTAAAAATAAAATCTGTTCCTCGTCTTGAAGTATAATCAAACTTCCTAGAAAGTCTGATATGCTTCATTACGAGGGGTTTATTGCGAGCCGGCTGCGCGCGAGTTTGCATTTCCTTCACTTCGACAGTCGACGTGGCGTAGTCACTGTAGTCCCCTCTTACCGGTAGAAGTTATAGTTACATCAAGACTTCGAGACTCTTCGAGAATGTCTTCCTCCTCGCCGATTTGTGCCGTCAGGTCTCTCACGATTATCAGTAATCAATTCGATCAGTTATCGTCCTATCAATCAGATCGTTGCACAAAGTCGCTCTTTTCGCTCAAATCGCTGAGAAACGTGTCCCATGAGAAGTTCCGCAGGATATTTATCGCGATTTCGGCATTGTTATAATTTGATTCACAATGAAATTACTAATCCGGCTCTCAATCGGACTATTAAAGGCAATCGTAAAATGGCACGTCCTCGACTCGATCCTGAGGATCACTGTCTGGCGCAATCTGGCGGAGGAAGAAAGGCGTTTTGAATCCTGAATAACGACTTCTTTGCCTCCTCTCAGTCCTGCTTCGATTATATGTATATGTATACTAACCCGTGAGAGAGAAGAAACAAAAAAAAATCGAGAACCGAACTACACTTACGAATCACAAGTCGGATGGACACTGAGACGGCGGCGTTCGGATGTCGTTAAAAACCGAAAAAGCTCTCCCTTCTCTTCCTTTTCTTTCCTTCCCTTCTTTCCCTTTCCCGTTCCTAGACGATCTCTCGTCTCTCCTTCTTTTGCTTTCGCTCGACTAGGCGTCTCACCCCATCGCACTCGTTGACGATGTCGACGAGTGTCTCCCCACCTCCAGCGCGCACTCCCTCTGTGCCAATGCGGCGCTTCGTACCCTTCTGACTCTCCGCATCCCTCTGGAGCGCCTCCGTCTCTTGGCTTGGCACGCCGGGACGAGTTCCGATATCGAGTCACTCCTGGTGCACGCTTCCACCATTCATTCAAAAAGAGTACAAAAAAAAAACGTCTATTTTTTCCTTATCTTTTTTTTTCTCGACGTTCCTCAAGCTGTTTAACTCTTCGCGATGAATATTCCGCGCAATTTCAAGCGACATTTTAATTGTAGTCACTAATCATTACGCAAAGCACGCGATCAGTAAGGCGCATGCGATTAAGTATGGTGCATGTGATTAATTCATTCGTTCGTTCTTAACTTTGCGTCGTTCTATTCCGCGTTACGAGGCGAGTCCTTTTGGAGCGTACGTGTCGCGACACACGTCTTGAGACGACCTCATTCTAAAAGTGTTTTTCATTTTTTTAATATCTTAAATTAAATGCGCAATGTTTAAGACCTTATTTCAGTTTGAAATTTTGAAAAAACTTTGTTTTCCGTCTTAAGTGATAGTTTATATGTATGAAAATATAATTTTATATTACTTGAAATGTAAAATTCGGAATGTAAAAATAAAATAAAATTACAAGCTAATTCTTTGAAGAGCATCCCTATATGAAAAACTTTAAACGCATTTTTCTCAAAATGACATTTTTCAAATCGACGTTGTACATCATAATTTCTATAATTTTTATTCATTTTATTTGAAACTTACAGAGAATCGTAATTTGTTAAGTTATTATCTAAAGAAGTAATTTTTTGACTTTGAGTTAAAAGACTATTATCGTTATTAACATTTTTATACAAAATTTTTTGATAAAAAATGGTATAGAATACTTTTTTTCAAATGTTCATCATTTTAAAAAAAAAGCATCCTATGTACTTCCTTAGCAAATATCATGTAGAAAATAAAAATTCTTGATTTTTTTATTATAAACCAATCGTTTCGTGATAATCTACGCCGATTGGCGTTTGTTAAATATCAGTCTATTTGAAGCACAATGTCGGAATTTTCTTTGAAAAAAATTTTCTTTGTATAGGCTTCAATACATATGTATAATGTATTGAAGAATACTTTTTTAGATTTAGATTTTTCATTTACTCTATCTTTTTGAAAAAAAATCCCAAAAATAATTTTGTTAGACTATTAAAATAATTAAATAGGACGCTCACAAGTATTAATGAGCAAAAAATTTTTGATATTTTAGCAGCCAGCTTGAGCAGCTTATATAATTACTTTAATGATTTAAATTATTTCCTAGCTAAATTTTTAGATATTTTAACAAAATCGTTTTTTCATTTAATAGAATATTTTTGTTACAATACACGTTCTCTATTAGCTGTAATTAATAATGCGCGGTAATTTAATTAGAAATTAAATTGAATTAAATTAAAAAAATTAGTGCACTTTGTTATGAACGAAAATGATGATTGAATATGTTTATTATTAGACAACTTAATTAGCGGATAAATAAGTTAAGTTAGATAATCCGAGCATAAATAATCGAGAGTATGCGTGTAATTGTTTCATATTTCTCTCTTTTATTTCAGAATATTCCAGAATATACTGTGAAGATCATAAATGTGGCATACATTATAACTTTTATTACAGTACAGTATACGTATATATGATAAAATAAATAACGACGTTTAATCGACAGCCTACATCTGGCACGTGTCACATTTTGTAAAAATAAAGATAAATAAGGATAATTCAAGGTCTCTATATTTTGTCGATTTTGATAAATATGATACATTTATTTATTTAAAAATTATTTGAAAATTTTTGCCGGTATTCTGATTTAGCATTGTAGAATGTATAATGAATGAGTTTGACATTTACATTGTTAAAATACTGGGAAATGTATTGTGAAACTCCATCAGGACTAACAATAGACGAAATTCCTGCCAGACCACTTAGAATTGAGAGACAATTTGTGACATCTAGTGTGCTTTGTTTTAAGATGTTATTCCAGTGCTTCAACCATTATAATATGTATGTGCATATGCACCAAGTGTTGTTGTTATTCATTCTACTTTACGAAGTAACACGTATCATAATCACGTTTACCGTAGAAATAAAAATTTTCTCATTTTTTTCTGGGACCTTTCGCAGATAAAAATTCCGGAAAAAAAAAGTAATGCAATTTCAATGATATATCTCTTTACGAACGAAAATTCTTCGTGAGATTTGAAAAACGTTAGACTCGTACACTTATTATTTGCAGCAACAATATTTTTGCTCGGACATAAGAATGTTACTTGCAATATAAGGTTTGTCGAGTTTTCCATTAATAAAATTTACAATGTACAAGGCCGTCTCATTTTATTTTATATTTGTTGCGTTATGATCCATGTATAGAAAAGGCATATTGTAAGTCCAGCACGTGCATCTGTGATTTTTTTTCTTCGTAACTCTCTTATTCTCTTATCTCTGTCTTCTTCCACCCGGCCGGCTCTGTGCATTCATTTTCACACATCTGTGCGAAATAACGTCACTTATTACTCTCGTTATCATTTCCATTATACATTTTGTTATCTCTATGATTCTTAATTCTGTTAACAGTCAGTGAAATATTTCTCCTTGAATTTTCTTGTTTGACGAGTATATTACCTCATATGTTAATTTAGGCTTATTATATTCAATGCATATATTATATTCTTAATAAATGCGATAAAATGAACCTCTAATCGATTTAAAAGAAATTTGTGCATGTAAAAACGATTTATTGATATAGAGTGTGTTTGATGAATATACTTTCGAAGAAATATGTCAACTTGTTAAGATTAACAAGTAGAAAATTCTATTCCAGGATAAAATATTGCTTGTAACAGCTCACATAAATTAATTGAAAAATAATTGCTTTATACTGGCAACAATTAAAATAAGACATTGAAATAATGCTTCGCACAAGAAACTTGGGGACAAAGTACATTAGACAATACAAATGTTTCAACTATGAATTGGTCCGATAAAAATGTTATGACGATATTCTTTGTATTATACCAAATCATGTTATGAGAAAATAGATTTTGCGCAGCGGTTAAAAAAGGAAGCTAGTGGTGTGTATTTCAGGAGGTAAAATCCCATTCGTTGGCTAAACACGTTACAACTTTATATTTCGTCTCCAAAAATGTGAGGATGAGTCTTTCTACATGTAATATTAATATTTTAAAAACTATGGCGTCGAATTAAATTTCGCTTGACAATAATTTATTTTAATTGCAAATAATTTTTATTATACTATCTTATTTATGAATTTTTTTTTGAATTTATTTATTAATAATCATTCAGCACATAAGCGTGCTTAAAGTCTTAAAATCGGATGTTATCGTTCGAGCGCATAAATCGGCTTATCATTAAACGCATAAATTTATTACAATCCTAGAATCAGATGATTATCTAATGTCAATAAACACGTAATGTTACATGAACATCACGTTTAGCATTTACAGTATTTAGATTCGACGCAAAATACATGAAGATTTTAATGAAATATTCTAATCGTATATCTGTCAACTTGTTGAAAGATAATAAATAATTAATAAACATCGTTCAATCAATACATATTGTTGATTACACCATTCGGTCATGCGCCATTTGCATTTTTATCAATATTCATAAGAATGTAACAAAACTCGTTTTGTGCTAACATATTATCTGTTAATCGTCTATGAAAGGATTATGTCTTTGGCACGTGCATTCATTAATATACATAGCTTGCGAATTAATACGAATGCATGTGCTTATATAAGACATAAATATGATGTTTCTTAAATACATTCGCGTAAGTGTAATAATAATGATTCTGCTTAAAATTAGGCCGATTCTACAATAAGGTCGTAAGTCGTAAGCAAGAAATTGATCAATCGCAGTCAAATGTGAGGAAAATAGCCGAGTATGATTGTTAATTTCTTATTGTCGAATTAGTTTTATAGCTACAATGCGTCTACAATGAGAGCAATATTGTGTAGTAAGCTGTAAACTACAAGAAATTGATCGATTATTCTCCTCACATTCGATTATGATTGGTTAATTTCTTATGGCTTACAACTTACTACCATATTACTCCTATTGTGGACGATCTTTTAGAGACTAGTTTTCGATAATAATAATAATTCTGAAATAACATTATCAGGTTGGTCAGAAAGTAACTTCGTTTATATATAACATTTCTAGGACATCCAATATGTATAAATATACTCGTTTGACTTTTTATTTTTTCATCCTTGACTAGGCCAATTAGCAATTAAATCGATTAAAGTAATCATCGCTTCTTTTTTCTTCTATTTTTAATCTTCTATATTTAATCAACTTATTTTCATCTGCAGAAATCTTCAGAAATCTTGGATATCTCGTTTCTGTCGATATCGTTGCATGTTCCTAAAGAAATGCAATCAACCTCGTTATGCGGTTTGACGCAAAATGATATGCGAACTTAGTACGATCGATAACGCGATTGACAAAGAGAAAGAAAGAAAGATGTAGAAGTAGAATGAAAAAGTGATAGGGATCGTTAAATTTTACTGCGTAATCGCATACTGATATTTACGGAGTAGTAAAAAAAAATTATTGAACGACGAGAAGTGTAAGATTGTGTAAATGCGTAAGCATCATTACTTGCGCGGTTGTTAGATAACAATTCCATTCTATAATTAGGTTACTGCGCACAACAAAGAAAGAATATAAACAGAGAGAGACCTTAAAAAAGGTGTCACTGTCAACCTCTTTGCGAATTGAGATAAAATATACTACGCGTCGAGTTTTAAGCATAATTATTTACAGAAAAAAAAAATGACAGGAAAGAAGGTAAAAACATAGAATAAATACAAAGTATCTATTAGTAGTTGTAAAATTCAGTTATATTTATATATATATTTTTAA